GGGGGGGGGGGAGGAGAAGGGAGGGGGGAAAGAGTTACTTGTGTTGAATTTTTTTTAACAAAGCTACAGTTCTAGAAAAGGAACTGAAATGGGTTAGATTCTGATCTCGTACAACCCCAGAAAAGCAGCTTAAAGTCATTAAGCGGCGAACATGGGAACTTATTCGTGTCAACCTCACGCACAACAAATCTGATTTGCCTCAAACTGGAGAAAACGGGAGCTTTTGGGAAGTCCCTTTGGGGGGCAGGAGCCCAACACTCATTTTCAACGGGCACTTGGTTTCCCTGAAGTAGAAGGGAAGGGAAAAATGACTTACAGGATTTGGTTTTTAAGAGAAAGGGCTGTTTTGATGAGGTACAGCTGTCGGGTAAAACAACCCCACAGAACAAACCCGAATCCATTTGCTCCTCTTTATAGACTGTAGCAAGTGCACAAAACTCCCCGCCAAAACAAGGTATTTTTTTCAAAACGATGAATTGGTAAAGAATGAAAAAAAGACCTTTTCTATAAAGGCACGTTATTTGCTGTTACCTGTAACTCTGCAAAGCCCCTAACGTTGTCAGACATTTTGCTGAGCAGGGGGTGTAAACTGAGGCAAATCACCAAGTTCAAAGCCCAAAGATTTGGAAGAGGGGGAGCGGGGGGGGGAGCTCTTGCTTCCCTCCTCTTTTCCCCAGCGCTGGGGCTGATCCCAGTCTGGCCGGCCCCAGACACCACCTTGGCTTGGTCCTGGCAGGGTGAGGGACCAGGAGAGCAAGGACCATCCTTCCTTCTGCTCAAGAACCGCTCCAGCTTCACCCAGCCCCGACAGAACCGGCACCAGTCCCAAGGGAGACCTGGCACTGCTGCCCTCGGGCCGGGCTGGGTGGCAGAGCAGGGGGGTGTCCAGCCATGGGGAACGTTCCTGCCACCTCCACTCACAAAGCCCCCTCCAGCACCGGGGCTGCCGGGTGTACCCTCACACCCTCTGCCCCCCGACACCCCCCCAAGTCACCCCCCGACCTGCCAGTGAGTGAGAGCAGGTCCCAGCCCCTCTCCGGGAGGTACGGCCGGAGGTGCCCGTGGTGTTAGACAGGGACTTCTTGCAGCCAGGAGGTGTTATTGAAGCAACAGCCCACACCAAGCGGAGAAAGGCAGAAAAGGAGAATTCGGATAATAGTGTTGATTATGTCCATGGGTTAATTTCGTGGTTTGCTTTTGCTTTTTTTTAAATGGAAGGTGATTGTCCGAGTTGCTGGTTAGGATACAACACATGGAAACATGCAAGGTGGAGCCCGTTATTGCACCAGTAGCTACAACCTACAAAGAAATACGGGAGGGGAGGGAAAAAGACACCGTGAGAGTTAGTTTTCAGTTATTTAAAGCAAGCCCTTGAGAATTACCTAGTCTAAAGCTCACACCAGAACACGGGGTTAGTGCAGTGTCTCAGAGGGTGTGGAGGTGTCTCGGGGGGGTTGACTCTGAGCAGTCTCTGGCTGCCCCAGCACCCCGGGGTGACCCGACAGTGTGCAGGGGATGGACACAGCCCAGCCGCCCGCGCTTCCGTGTCACTGAGCACTAATTCAGCTGCCAATGCTGATAATTAATGCTGACGCTTCAAGTACTTCTCCCCTATTAAATGCTTTGAGCAGAGAAGCAGTAATAATGTATGCAAATTGGCACAACCCACTGGCGGGGGTGGAGGGGGGTGTCAGTCTGTCTGCCCAGGGAACAGTAATGAGGGGAGCTCCGACAGCCGTTCTGCAGCTCCACAAGCTGTTTGGGAGTAACTCCTGGTGGAAACACTCAGCCAAAATGATCCCTTGGCAAATGGCTCTGGAATGGGGTGTTCTCCTGAGCCGAGTGCCCAAACGGGGAGCGTTACCTCTGTGAGAGGAGAAGGGGAGAGTGTGACTGCGTGGGGGCGCGGGACTGCGGGGGCTCTGCTCTGCTCCACACCATCTGCTCGGGGAGGTGAAAAGATCAAATCACCAGCAGAGTTAATGACCCAGCACAAGGGGATCTTACTACACAGAGAAATGAGGGCAGGGAAGAGCTGAACCACAGTGTTTGCATGCTCGGGGAGGTGAAAAGATCAAATCACCAGCAGAGTTAATGACCCAGCACAAGGGGATCTTACTACACAGAGAAATGAGGGCAGGGAAGAGCCAAACCATAGTGTCACGCTCAGAGCAGCACAGTCCAACACAGGACTGCAGTGCTGGAGAGCAGAGTCTCTGTAGAAAGGGAAAAATATCACCGACAGGCGGTGTGTCGTGTACGTGTAATGGAACACAACTTAAATACAATGATCTTCCTCCCATAAGGGAGCATTAGCTTAAAAAACCAGGGGGGACTGTCCCAGGTGAAGCTGGATGTCTGGGGAGAATGGCTATGGAGAAGCAGAGACTCAAGGCAGCTGGGGACAGATCTGCCCAATGAAAGCTGTGCCTGGAATCAGGCTTTTTGGCTTTAGGAGAAACAGGGAAAACAATTGTTTCTCTTAAATTAGGACCCAGGGACAGAGAAGCAGCAGCAATTACATACAGGTCCATTTTGTAGCTCAGGTTTTGTTGGTTTCCCTTTATGTTTTTATTTTTAAAAATGTGGACAGTTGAAATGACGAGGACTGAATGGTGGCTGTGACAGTGCTGGGGGTGCAGAAGGACACCCCCCCTCCCAGGGGTGTGCCACAGCCCCCACGGGCTGTAATGACCATGTGAACAACGACTGTAAGGCAGCAGTTGTAGCTTTTTGGAGTGCTGTGGTATGTGAGCATCCCTGTCTGTCAGGAAAAAACACCAGGCAGCTCTGCTTCCCAGGCAGCGGGCAGTAATTGTGCAGGTTTTGCTGATTATAATGTCCTTTTGTATAAAGACGAGGCCACGGTCTTGGGGGAGCATCCCACGTGTGAAGCTGTTACACGGGGAAATGTATCGGGGACTCGGGTGCAAATGTTGGGGAAATTGCACAAGAGACAAATGGTGACATTTTAAACCAAACCCCCAGAGAAACCCCACCCAGCAGCACACAGAGCCAGGGCAGGCGCCGGGCAAGCGCGTGGGCAGTTCCAGGAAGGGACTGAGGGAAGATGGTGAAGGGTTATGGGAAAGAAAGGGGTAGGTTAAACATCAAAAAAGGAGAAAAAAGAGAAAATAAATATTAGAGGTTCAGTAGATGAAAATAAACACGAGCAGAGCACGTGGTAAATGGGCACTGGTTGCAAATGTGTCTGATCTCCCCAGACTTTGAGAAAAAACACTGAGGTCACCAAAATGTCACCTTGTGCCCAAGAGAAGCCCTGAGCGTGTCCCTGGGCTGGCTGTGCCCGTGGGGGCCACCAGAGCTCCTGGGGTAACAGCAGTGGGGTGAGACACCCCACACAGAGCTGGTCAGGGACAGGGGGCTGGGTCTCTCAACCTTTACCTTTACACTCACCCAGTCCAAACTGGGACGAGTCATACTCTGGGCTCATCTGTCACAACAGATGACGTGGGACGTACAGTCAGGTGTTTGGGGGGACCTGTCCCAGTTCTGACAGTTTATGGATGCGTGATCTGATGAGACCTTTCTTCCCCAATTGCAGCACAGAAACTGACCTCTGACAAGGATTTACACTGACTTCTCATGATTTATCTTCCCTTGGTCCAGATCTTGACATAATTCCATCTTGGAGGTTCAGTGCAAACCCTGCTGCTCCCTCCCAGCTGTCAGTTTACAGCATCCTCAGGATTTCTACATCCCTTGACATCTCATCATTGCCTCCTTTGGTAATTTTCCCCAGAAGTCAGTTATTCTGAGTCTAATGCTGCATTTCTTTATCTGCCTCTGCAAACTAGGCACTCTCCCATAAAGAGGAGGAGGGGGTTGGATATTTTCCCCACGTGCTCCTTGAGGAACTTTGGACTCTTTCAAAATGTGACAGTTCAGTTTCAAAGGGAAACGGTGGCACATTCTTTGGTCCTTCCTGTTCTCAGTCAGTACCAGCCATTACAGGGGAAATTCTGACCACTCTGGGGTCTGTGTGTGCCCTTTCCAATACTCTTGGTAGAAACTCTCTGAAACCAGACACAGAGCTGGGTAAGTAACCTGCTGAAGGAGGGAAGTGAATGTGATAAAGTAGGAAATTAACTGTCTGAAGCACACAGGCTTCATTGCCTCATTTCCTAGTAACTAGAAAAGCAGAAGAGCTTGCTGCTGCTCCCCCACCGAGCTCTGACAGCCCCCAGGAAGGCAGAACAAAGGACAGAAACAATGCGGTAGCAAATTCCGAGCAGCATAAATGTTCTTATCAGCAGCAAATACTCACTCAGCAGATTTCCAGAAATGCCCGGGGTGGGAGAGCCGACGATTCAGTTTTGGCAGTTTTTCAAGCATCTCCATGAGGACAGTGAAGCTGGGTCTCTCGCCGAGCTCGAAGGACCAGCACGCCGAGAGAATCTCCTGCAAAGGTGTTTGTGGCTCATTATCCCCACTGAGTTCCCAGGTCTAACTGTGCAGACTGAGAAGCTGATGGGGCACTGATTTGTGTGAGCCCAGCCAGAGACAGTGGTTAATAGAGATCTTGGACATTCTTGTGATCAAGCAGTACCCTGCACACCAGTGGTGTCCACTTCTGTACAACAGTTACGGGCAGAGGCTCAGTATCTAACCAGGTGTCCTGTTCTAATCTGTTCTCTCTCCTGCCCTTTATCTTTACAGTTATAATATGAGTAGAATAAATCTCTTCTTTAAGCAGCTCCCTCTTTTCCTGGTAAATAGCTATATGGAAGGATTCCTGCAGCTGAGGTACTTACATTGACTTCTTTCCCCAGACTAACAGTTGCAAGGACTTGTTTCACTCCTTCCCCGCTGCCGATCTGCCAGATGAGAGCCTCCGCCGGCTGGCTCTTGAAAGGCCATTCTCTGGCTTGGAGCTCATACCACACAGTCCTGCAACATCAACGGACAAGTCAAGCCTTTGCCTGCTCTTAAGAGAAAGATACAAACCCTGACACCGTTCCAGTTTCTCCAGAAAAGCTCCAGGAGGTGTATAAACCTCTGCAGCAAATCCCTCCCACCCCACACACCCAGAATTTTGTAGTAGGTGAGAAAAAGCATCCCAGGCAGAACCCTGAGGCTGTGAGAAGGGAAGCACTGACTCAGGCTCAGGTCTGTGACAGATCTCATTAGTAAGCTCCTGTGGTACTCTGTGTGTTGCTCTTACCCAAAGGCATAGATATCTGCAGCTTTGGAGAAAGGCAGCTTGTCTTCATCCTTCCCAGGGGCCATCTCACGAACGATTTCGGGGGCCAGGTAGCACAACCAGTCGTGAGGCAGCTTCAACTCATTCTCCCTCCTGAGTTCAAAGGAAAGAAATGGGACTGAAACCCTACTGCTTGAACCGAGCAGCAGCACGTGGACCATATCTCTGCTTCACCCAATGCTTTGACTTCATTCACTCAAATGTTTTCGCTGACATTTGCTTTCAAATTTCCTTGCCATATTAAGAACTACAGAGGTGACAGCCTGACTCCCCAGCTCATTCCTGGGCTGACAGCACTCTGCTCTGTGTTCTGAGTCTCACTCCACACATAACTTCCTAGCAATGTGCTATGGGAACAGTAGAAAGAACTCTTTTTAAAAAAAAATTTGTGTATTCCCAAAACATGCGTATGTCCTAAAGGGATCACACTCCCCACTTGTACTGCGTCACACATCAAAACCTTTCCCTCTTTGATCATTATTTAGCATTCTACAAGTGGACCAAGCGTTGAAACCTCCACTTACCTTCCTTCCTGCACCACGCCTGAAATTCCAAATAATCCAAAGTCAGTGATCACAACTTTCCCGTTGTCATAGAAAACGTTCTTGGATTTCAGATCCTTATGAACAATCCCCTTCGCGTGGAGATACCCCATGCCCTGGGAGACACATGCAGGGATTTAGGCTTTGTTTTATTATTTACAAGCCTCCACCTCTGGGCATGCTTTGCTTGCTAATGCACATTTACTCTCATTACTCCAGCATAAATGATTAATTGTTAATTAGACCCAGCAGCTCTCTGACTGACGCAGGGAGGGTGCAAGGGAGCAGATCTTAGTTCAGTGCTCAACTTGGGAATTGCTTTCCAGGCTCTGCACGGTGGGGCTGCAGGAAGGGTGCTCTTAGTTGAAGCATTAAGTGTCCGTGGACTTGGCAACCCTGAACCAGTCTGTACGTGTAAGAACCACAAACAACTGACAGGGTTTGCTCACTAAATTCACAGGATATTTCTGCCAGAAAAGAGAACAGCAGCTTTAGAAATGCTTCTTCAGTGAGAAATACTGAAAGCAAGCACAGAAAATGCTGCACAAATCTGGGAGAAAACACCATTTACTACTACATTAACTCAGCTGCAGTTACTAATAAAGAGACTGGGAAGGAAACCTGTCCCACAGACCCCTCTTCATTGTCACCTTGATCCAAATTCTCCCTCCCCAGCCCCTCACTGACATGCAAAAACTCTATTTCTCTCCATACAGCCCCTTACCTTACTGCCCACCAAATCAGCACTTTTCAGCCAGATCTGAGCATCTCCTGCTGCACCTCCCTGTTGGGCTGCTGCGACCCACACAGCCCCTCCCCAGCCCTGAGCCTCCCAGCTCCCGCCGAGGTGCTGCCCAGAAAGTGGGTGTCTCTGGCAGCACAGGGTCCCCTCACCTTAATGATCTCCTGCGCTATCTGCCGCGTTTTGTTAATGTCCAGGGAGACCTTGTGGTCCCTCACGAACGAGTGAAGCGTCCTTCCTTTGCAGAAGCTACAGGAAAGAGGAACAACCATCCTTAAAAAGGTCTTTTAAAATATTGGAGGGAAATAAGAATGTAATACTGGATGTATAACTGGTTTTCTTATCACGTTGACAGTATCCCAGCCCTTTTCCACTGCTGGGAAATGGCATTTTGAAGTCGAGCTACACACGTACCTATTGTTAAATCATGCTCAACAATATGCAACAAATATGGATATATCAAAAACAATCCTAAGATGCCATATCCGTACCTGGTAATGATTGCTAAGTGAGGAGGGTTCATGCAGGCTCCCATGAAAAGTACCACGTTCTCGTGCCGCGTCTGTCTGTAGTTCATCACCTCCTTCTTGAAGAGCTTGAGATGGTCCTGGTTGTTCCCGTCTATCTCCAGGAGCCTGATGGCCACCTCCCCGTGCCATTTCCCCTTGTAAACCTTCCCCCACCGCCCTTGGCCGATAGGATCCCCCAGTTCAATCTGTTCAAAGGGGATGTCCCACTCTTGCAGGTAGACGCTGGTCTGGCTTGGTTTGCGATAAATCATCCCTTGCAAGTGTGGCCGCCTGTTTGGCAAATCTTCCACCTCATCCTCATCATCTTCAGGTTCTGATTTATTAGTCTCTCGTTCTTCCACCTGTTCACAGAAAGAGATGGGAAACACACGCTGAGAGTCCCACCTGAGGGGCAGAAGGAGCAGAGGCTGCTCGGGGAGAAGGTCAGGGGCTGGATGTACACATTGCCTACAGCTCTAGAAATAGCCCTCAGAGGACAAAGTCATCTTAGAAGGCTATAGAAGGTCATATTTCTGTATGTCAGAGCACTCAGGTGAAGATAAGAAAGGCTTTATCCCGTATCATATTTCTGTATGTCAGAGCACTCAGGTGAAGATACAGATACTCCCGTACAGAGTTACATTTGTAGAACCAGCACTAACATGGAGGCACTCAGCATCTCTCAGGATTTGGCCTTCAGTGTGGGGCAAAATGCTAGAGGCCATTCTGAAAGGAAGGGTCAAGACCCTCTTTGTCCTTTAAATTAATGTGGATACAGGGTTTTTTCGAGATTACTAAAATCATCCTGTTAGAAGTGCTCCAAAAATCAACAAACTTGATCCAAAATCCAGTAATTTCTGCTGAAATCATTGATTCTGTCTCTATTGGTGTCCTCATCCCTGCAGAAACCCATTTCAGTGGTCATCCTCCAAGCTGAACCATGCTTAGGGACTGCCAAAATCATGGGCTCTTCAGACCAGGTCTGGAAAGTCTCTCCTACACAAAACATGAGGCCACGCTCACCGTTGCAGGATCTGCCCTGAGCTAACCTGACACTGGTGGCACCGACACCTCCATTACTTGCAGGTTTGAGGTTGGCACAGCATTTAGACCTGGGAACTCCAGCAGCAGCCTGAGCTCCTGTAATGTAAAATCAGCTGCGCCAGAGCCAGCCAGAAGTTTGAAAAATATAATCTTAGCCTTATCAGAAAAAGTGAAATATTGTATATTGCAAGTACGTAATTGTTTCAGCCTCACTACAGAAACCCTGACTTTGCAGTTGTGATCTCAGCAGTATCACAGCTCAGTGGAGCTGAGGGCAGGCACAGCCAGTCTGCGCTGGACCCCAAGGCCAAAACCTTTACATCGCAGTTTCAACATGATATTTCTGATTGTACAAAAGGGCAAACCAGAAAACCTACCTCTGCTTCACATCCAACTCCATCTGCCTCTGGCTGTTGATCAGCACTAACGAGAGAAGACAGGTTTACAGTGAAAACAATGCTTGCACACAGAGCTGTGTCAGGAAAGTGGGCTGGTACACAGGCCACTGGGGGAGTGGGAAGAGCAAATGAAGAGCAGATCTTGGTAATATTAAAGTAGGTCAGAGAAAAATACAATTACTGCTCCACTTAACAGAGAAGGACTTTCTAACCTTACTTTGGCAAATGAGGGACAATGACTCTGCGGTGATTTCCAGTGACTAAGTGGTAGGAGTTGGCTGTCCCAGTGTGTTCCAGTAACAGATACTCTGCTCCTGCTGGACACCAGCAGTGGGGCAGCACTGGGGAGTGTGGGCAGCGCAGGCTGGAATCTTCTGCATGCCCTGCTATTTGGGTCCTTAAAAAGATATTTGCTTGCAGCTGAATGTGCCGTGCTCTTTTAATTGTAAAACTCCCTGACTCCTATTTCATCAGCCCTTTCTGCTCCCGGGGGTGCACACGGATCCATAACTAGATGTTAAGGGCATGGACATACTGGCCCATCTAAAGTAAATATCATATTCAGCTTTACAAACCTGGGCACACCAGTACCACCCTTGCTGACTCCTGTGAGTTCTAAGGTGACACATTCAGTTTTGGTCATAATGTAGCACTTTCAGACTGATCTGAAGCTTATCAGGTAAACACCAGGCAAGTAAGAGACTTTAAACTGTACTCACTTAGTGTCTGCGGCTGGTTCTGGAGGTTGTGCTGTTTGTGCAGGGCTGGGAATTTCTGGGAAAGTAGAAACATTTATGAAACATACTTTACACTTCAATCTCTTAAAGATTGGAAGTTTTCACATTGCAACAGTGATTATTTGCTTCTTAGTGCGGAATTATAAACTAAACTCAACTCCAGACAGTATGATTTATACTTCTATTCACTTAAAACTACGCTCATCTTTCCTGGTACTCACACGCCTGTACATTGACTGAGCCCATTCACCTACTTATCCGTAACGAGTACATAAATCACCTCACTACCTCTTATTAGGAGAGAGAGGCCTGAATTATGTATTGAGATAAGAGAAAGTTTGAATTGTTTAGGTACTTTTTTTTTTAAAAAGCAGAATTATTGCTCTTGGGCAGCATGCAGAAGTTTACAAACAAGTTACTTTTTGGCAGCAGAAGCTGGTTAGTAGATTTAAAACAATCAACTCACCTGGGAAGATAAATTGTTGTCTATGTTGAATGTAGTAGGCAGCTTTTTTTTAAATTGGTTTTAAAAAAAAAAAAAAAAAAAAACAGCAAAAAAAATTACCAGGAGAAAAAAAAAAACAAAGACAAACAAGTTAGAGGATCATCAGTAAGAGCCCTGTGTGCATTCAATGAATTAGTCCCAACTCACTGCTGGGGAACAGATTAGTAGATGATCAGCCTGCGGGAGGGGTGAATCTCAGCACATGCATTTCTGGCAGACTACAAGAGAGGACAGTTCTCAACTGAAAGCTGGTACCAGGGAGCAAACTGGGTGGAGGGAAAGCACCGTGGTCAGTGGCACAAGGGAGTTTAGAGAACCCAGGATGCTACAAGGCAGGGCCACGAAAAGGCTTGTGCTTTGATGCCTCTCATGTCTGCAGCTTCTCAGAGATGCTCCCAGAGAAGCTGAAGCTTGTGAGCTATCTGCAAGCATATTTTTTTAATTTCAGTGAATTTGAGCAGTATGTCCTAATACAAAGTAGTTGCAGTAGAATTCTTGTATCAAACTGGCTCTGCTTCTGCTCCTTTTGAGCAGGCTCAAATAGCAACTTCCACTCCAGAGCACAAGCTCGAGGCAAAGTACAGCCACGCTGAAGGCGAGAGGTAGCAGCTACTGAGCAGGAATTACATTTATGCTCACTGTGTAAATCTTTGCCCTTGTCAGAGATTTTTGCCTCTATCTACTGACCATTTGGGTTCTTAACCTGTGTGTAGGGTAAATAATTCTCCACCACACATGTATGTCAATGGTTTAAAAATGAGTGTTGATCGTTGCTTATCTTCTGGAAGACCCTACTTTGGAAAGTAATTCACTCCAGCTCTCATTTTCACGTTTAGTAATCAACTTACTCATGACTTAAAGCCACTGGTGACCAAACATAGAAGGCAGCATGCATTTTACAATACAATGAGAAAAGGGAGAGGAAAGAATATATATTTTTTTTTAGTCCTTTTCAAAAAAAAGAAAATAGAAATCTTTTAAGAAAGGTGCCCTCATTCCTCAATAATCTGTCTCCTGCACAGGTATCTTGATACCACTTGAAAAATGTTAAGAACAGGCCAGTTTCTTTTATCAGGTAACAAGATACACCTTCACACCTTAAGACACAACCATGTGTTCAGAAACCTGCAGCTCCCTACGAAGTCCTGGTCAGTCTCTGCTCAGCAGAGGCCCTTCTGGTCTGGGCAGAGAGAGGGCTCCTGAGAGGGAGGAGTTTACCTGGGAAGTTGAACCGTGCGTCCCTCTGGCCCATGGGGGACGGGTTCGGGGGCGGCGTCGCACTGGGGGGGTTGGAAGACTGGAAAGGTGCTGGGGAAGACGGGGTAGAGGAGGTTGTAGAAGAAGGATTACTGCTAGAGTCCAGGTGATTTATTGCTGGTGGATGGTCCTGCAGAGCAAGGAAAGTCACTCGTAAGAAAACAATTTAAAAAAAGGAAGAATTTCCCTCGGTGTTCACGACTGGCCTCAGCTCACAGCATACTTTTTCGAAGTGGCAGCAGGAACTGTGCACAACCCATGTTTTACAAGGAGAAAATGTCACATATCAAAGTTCTCCTTGCAAAGCCAAAGCTCAAGGTGCCATTCCTGCTCCAACCAGCAAGGTGCTGCTGCCACCTCTCCTGGCTGTAGCCCCTCAGTGACTTACGGACACAGGACCCCCGTCAGTCACCACCTACCTTTTTAGTTAGTGCTTTGGGAAGAGTTCCAAACTGGGGTTCTGTTGGTCTGTCCACTGGGTTATTGATATCAGAAGGGACAGACTCTGTTCTTCTTATTTTTGCTACTGAAAAACAGGTTGGAGAAGGGAGAAAAAAATCTTTAATCAGACTTTTTATTCTTGTGATACCATCAATTACATTGAAATGCCAAGAACTGGTAGAAAATTACTTACTGGGAAGGAAGGATATTCTACAGGCAGGTGCCTCTTTAGTACACTTGTTGTGACATTTTAATCTGAAAGAGAAACATTACATGTTAAATAGCAACTTGTTCTTTCCCAAAAAGCCTATCCTTAATTTGTAATTCTTATGCTAACATCAGAGGGAATTCTGGAATGCTCCAGGCCCCAGAGCAGCACTCATATGAGGAATGCTATTATGGGTGTCATTAGGCTAATGAAAGCCATATATATATGTATCTTAGCATCTGACTTATTTTTAATATAGTTACCTTCACTGACTATTATCCTGGGACTGAGGAGGACTAAAATCTCAGCATTCTGGACTAACAACCCAGACAAAGAAGCAAAAACTAAAATCCTCACTGTTATTTAGGTATCCAGCTCCCACCACAAGATTTGCCTGTGTCCAGGCAGGAAGCCTGTGGCAGGGACATAAATCCAGTGTATCTGTGTGTCAGATACGCTGCCAACCCAAGTGTAAGCTGTGCCCAAGCCTCCCTGTGCCCGTTGAGAAGCTGACTGAAAAGTGATGCTGCTGGTAAGAGCACATCACGTCAAGAGACACTTGTCACTGCAAACTTCAGTGAATCAAAGTTGTGACAAAGATCCTGGCTGTGTGCTCACCTGCAGTACTTACACTTCACCCCGAACATCATGCTTTTCTGACAGACTTGGCAAATCTGAGATAACCAAGACTTTGTAGAGAACCTAAGTGGAGACAAGAGAGGAAAAACGATGCTAACTGGTGTCTAAAGGAAAATTAACATTTGTAGGCAGTCACAGACAGGCTGTACTCCTTTAGCCCTCTCTGAAAAGCACAAGTGGCAGTGTGGAAAAGACACATCAGTGGTATCTTAAAAATAAATTTGGCTGAAATACATAGTTAAGGTTGAACTTGGCAAATGAGGCCCCCAACCCAACTCCAAACCCATCCCAGAGCCATCCCTGCCACAAACACCCCGAACAGGACACGTCCTGCTCTGCCCCGTGTGGGTGCCCTTGGTGGCCCCCTGTTCCTCACCTGTGTGTCACCGCTAAGCCGAAGTCTCTTCGTACCGTCTGAGGGGACCCTTGGGAGAGTTCTGATGGAGAACAAAAGGATGGTTTAGGGAAGCATCAGTCACAAGCAGTGCTCACTGCTCTAGGTCTGGTCTAGTTATCTGGTAAGTCCAAAAAGGGAGACCTAGGCTTCAAAACACCAGCCCAGCACTCCAGTGGTTGTATCACATCACTTCCTAAGAACTCCCCAATATTGGTGTATTTCCCAAATTAAATCTATAGCCATATTGCAAATCTGGTGAAACCTCAAATCTGCAGGCATCGACACAGCTGCAAGGCTGGACACTGTCACTGCTAACAGAAGCCAGTCTCTTTCTGTGACCCTAGATGGCACCAGATTCGTTTTTATCATTATTCCAAGTGAACTTTTAAAGGCATCTGTGGTCCTCAGCACTGGAACAATTCCTTGCTTTTCCAAGGAAAATTGCTGATCTAGTGTGGCCACCCAAATGCAGTCATCTGCATTAAACATAATACAACAGTTAAGATGGCTAAATCCTTACTGAAGAGTCCTAACAAATTTTGGAACTGAATGGCACTTAAAAGAGCTGACAGTATAGATTTTAAAAAGGACAATATGACTATATTGTAAAAGGACAATATGGACCATAAAAGCACCAGAGATACTTGGCAATGAGTATCTGAAGATACTAAATGGTTAGATACGAGGTTATTTCCAGGACCAAAAGGCACCAGTAAGACCTCTCCGAAATCACAGACAAGCAATTCCAACCCCCTTGCTTTAATCCTTTAAACATCAGTATTCATTTTCCTTGATTTTGCCATCTGATGAAATACCAGGTACAAAAATGACCAAGTGAACATCCTGCAGTTCTCCAGCTGGCCCAGGGTCTGTTCAAGTGAACAGAAACTCGGGGACAGAAGGCCCTAGGGAGGATCTCCTGAGGTTGCACAGGGATGATCAACAGATAGTGGACAAGGACAGGTTCTCTCTCAGCAATGAAACGAAGCCCCATAAAAGTCTCTTACCGAACCTAGAGAGAAAAAAAAAAATAAATAAAAAATCTTTTTTAGACATTGATACTCATGTGACAGGATACACACTTTAATAGAGCAGAAACTCCTTCCTGCAGCGTTTGATGTCAGGTTTACAAACATTTCTGGTTTCGCACGGGCTCCCGAGGTCACTGCACAGCCAGGATTTCCCTGCCTACAAATGGCAGTCTCTGCTGTGTACAGCCCAGCTCTGGTCTGGGAGGGAGGGGTACGGGAGTGCTCCCGAATTTTGGCTTCAGACAAGAAGTGCTAAGGAGGCTGGCAGGCTCCGGGGAGGGGCCACATTCTGCACTTCTACCAGACTTAATCAATAGAACCTGAATGACAGGAGATCCAGCTTCTTACCACTGGATTTCAAAACAAAGCCACAGGTGCTGACTTGCTGCATTTGGAGGTTTAGCAATCTGCAGGTTTCAGTATATACTTTGTGTGCACTCACAGTGTGGGTGCCCTTTGGTATCAACAGGGGGACCCGTGGAGAAGGAGATATTTCATGCTTACTTTATTGGAGGAACTTCATCTATCCTGTTTCCCAGCTGTGATTCATGGGACTTGCTCCGCGTGAGGGTTGGGAAGTTGGGTAGCAGCTGAAAAACCTTCCGGCAAGGGGGAGGAGGAGTCCGTGGCGGCTTAAACTTATGCCGCCTCTTGGCCTGAGGAGTGGTGGGGGGAGTGATGGTGATGCTGTGAGGAGTCCTTGGCGTCAGCCTTCCACTGTGTGCAAAAGGGTCCAGGAGGTTTTCTGCATAGATAGAAGGTCCGTGACTCGAGGTGAGAGCGTCTGAAGATGGGATGGTGGACACGGAGACGGAGCGTGGCTGCTGGCTGCTGCCCCTGGGGAGGTGCAGGGCCGAGGGGCTCCAGGCGGGCGCAGAGGAGCAGGGGGACTCGGGGTTGGTCGGGCTGTTCTCCCGCCGTGCCTCAGACAGGTTCATCAGCACGTCGTCTTTTAGCTCCCCACCTGTGCATCAACCACAGCAACGTGAGGGATTGATCCAAATACATAATACACCATGCTGCTTTAGGCTATAAAGTGTTTTTTCCCCCTGCTTTGCACCCAGCCAAGGGGCACGCCTCGCTCCTCCTCCCCTGACACCCGTCTGAGACATCAGGTAAAGTAACCTTTAAAACAAGAATGGCAGTAACTCCCCTTCTTCCCTGTCTGTAGCTGTGTGTATCAAAAGCTAAAATGAGGTCCCGTGTTCTAAGCTGGGCTGTTAACAGATTGGGGCCCTATCGAAGAATGTGGGTTATAGAAACCGACATGAAACAGACACCCCAGTCCCTCTGGATGGCCCATGTGGATTTAGCACCAAGCTCATTTCCTGGCAGCCTGTCTGCTTTTAGGCTGGTCTTTGGTAAAAAGAGGACACTATTTTATATTAGCCAACAGAACTGCTAAAAATAAGAGGGTTCCAGGAGCTCCTGATACTGATTTGGCCACTTTTCTCTCTCTCCGGCACGTAACCAGTGTCTGGAACTCACCTGGCACCTGGAGCTCAATCCCAGCACTCAGCACAGAGCTGCTGTGTTTGATCAGTCTGTATAAGACAGAGCTGCAGCAGGACAGACAGATGGACATCCTGGTGGATCGCCCAGCGCTGCCTCTACAATGGTTCAGAACAAGCCAGTACAGCTTGTAGACCAATTCTGGGCATACATGGGGTAAAAAAGGTACAAAGGCCTGCAGGCAGCAAAGCAGGTAGGATAAATTCAGAGGCTTAATTCATCAGGATAACTCTCTGTCTTAATTTTAAGTATGTCCTTAATTACTTGAATCAAGGTGAAAAGTCAGAGCCTCAGGCCCTGATGTCCTGGTTGACCTGAAGAGAGATGATATATCTGGATTTTTTAAAAATGTCACTTCTTTATAATAATTGAATACCTTGATTCTGAACAATGGCTGGTTTGCCACAGTATGGATGGAAAATATTTAACAGCCCAGGACAAGAAAGATTAGAAAAAAGGAAATACAGAACTGAGCTGTTTGCTGACTTTTCCATTAACTAATCTTTATGATTTGCTAATGGTATGAAGTGTCATAACACCAACAGGAAACATCCCCTTCCAGTGACAGATTGAAAAGGGCTACACAGAAAGATGTGATGCAGGTTAGTAGCAGTGTGCTGTGAGAAACACCCTCAGACAGACAGATTTCACAGTGCCTTGGAAAGGCTGGGGAAGGTGACAGTGAAACAGCACTCTGGGAATCCTGAGTTTGACTCATCGCAAATAACTTGGTCAGATCCAGGCTGAAAACACGCATTTCTGATTACACAGTACCTTTCTTTCCATAATTTAAAGGTAAATCAGGGTTCTTTCTAGCTCTTGAATGTGCTTTGGCACTTGGCTAATGATTCTGTCAATTCCAGCAGTGAAAGAAAGACAGCAGAAGGCAAGTGGTTTTAAAGAGAATCGATTGGCACCCCACAAGCCATGCAGGGATACAGGGGTGTCTGTGCAGTGTCACAGCAATGGTTTTCTCTTCCAAAGCATTGAGCTGAACAATACTCAGCCAAATAGAATCACACCTTCTCTCTCAACTAGCAGTGTCTGGGGAGGGGATTACCTACAAGAAATGTGGTTGTATCTGTTAGGTCAAGGATACGTGCACTGAATGATGGAGGATCCATTGCAGCATTAGCCACAATTCTGGACAGAGACAGAATAAGGATATAGTCTGCTGAGTAGGAGAGGATACTTCTATATACATTTATTTCCATTCATTTATTTGACATGCTGTCAAAACCAATTCCAATCCACAGCTCTAGATGGGTTTGATGACTGCAACTTCACGTACACCCAAGAGCCATAACCTGGCACACAGAATATACCCAGAGACACTCTCTAGAGGTTTTTGCAGATTGTCCCATATGAAAGGAAGCAGGATGGGGGCTGGATTGCCGAGAAATTCCCTAGAACAATAAGGCAGTTCTGTACCTGATTCAGTCGCCTTCCGTAAGCAGCTCAGTGCCCCATTGAGCCTGGAGCACTCCTCATCTCTGGCCCCACACCTCTTCATTGTCTCCTTCACCTTTGACTCATTCATTTCTAGTAAGGCATCTAAGGTTAGCTCCTCTGGTATTCTCTGCAGAAAAACAAGACGACACAGATTTATTTTTAATATACATATATAAATAAGACTGCCACTTGTTATTCTGATGTACTTTAAATAGTGCTACTGCCTCACTGCCTGCTCTGACTCACCATTCACTCCCTTTGGGAGAGCATCTCTCTCAGGGGTCACTGAGTCAGTGGTGACCATGGGCAGGTCTCACCAGCTGCTCTCCCTCCTCCCCACACCACCAGGGACCAGGTGGATGGCCAAGTGTGCTCTGTGTCACTAAGATGTTACGGTATTAAGTTAGGATTAGAGGTGATTTAAATATTCCTCTCCTCTTGTGGAAAGTTTTCACTCAGTATTTTTGAAGAGCTACTAATGAAAGCTTAACTTTTTCATTAAAAATAGCAGTCAGCAACAAAACAGGCCTAAAACCTGAAAAAATGTCAGATAAAGGTGTTTGGCTTTTCAGTAGGGAAGTGAAAAGTAAAAGCAGTGAGGAAAATGACTTATTTTATTAAACAAAAGTAAGTGTTTTGACAAAGAGATAACAACCTCCTCCTCAGGCAATTTTTCCTTCATTAGAGAACCAACCTTATCCATATCTTGCTTGGAAAGATATTTCTGCAGAATTCCTTGTACAACTTAATACACCAAAGCCCCCAAGGTGATAAGGTTTAAATCAGGCAGGCACAAAAGACACAAGAGACTGGAAAGCATGAAATGATCTGGTATTTCCTGACACAGAATTGAGCTGTGCTGCCTCTCTCCTCCCCCATTCAAATGTTTCCAGGGTAAGTCTGCAGCAATTGTGGTTAATAAACAAAACCAGGATATTTAGCCCAGATACCCAGGAATTTCCCTGAAAGTTTTGCTTAAACAAACCTCTCTGCTGCCTACCCTCACAATGAGATCACAAATTTCACAATTTGGCCTCTTTCCTAAAGTTCCTACTCCTGGAATCAAACTATATAAAAGGGTATCAACTTCTATGGTCGGGGGAAACTCCAAAGTGTGGCTCACTGCTTGGAGAAACAAAAAGCTTGAAATCCTCTGGATTCTTAAACCCTGCTTCCAACTATAGATCAAATTTTAATGTTGTTGGACGTCCTTTATCAACCACATCTTTCTTAATCCAGACTCGTGCCTTGGAGATCTGACATGACTTTTAGCTGTGACAGGGTCAGAAAGAGCCCCAACCTTTGGAGCTTTGTAGGTGGTAACACAAAGAGTAAATGACATAGTTTTCATTTTTAGTAACTGTTGCATGGAGCAAATGAAAAAAAAAATAATTAAGCAAGGGCAGAAGTCTAAGAAATGCATCCTGCATCTTGTGTCAGGTGCCCTGAACCAGATGAACACAGAAGAGGCGAGGATGTAAACGTGCAGTAAGCCCAAAGCAGGGCCACAGCAGAGCCAGAGTTCAATCAAGTCTGGGTAAGTTTCTTGTTCTTCTGTAATTACTATTAGCAGAATAACAAAAGCACAGATATCCCACCGGACATTGGGATTGATTGATTTTTGATTATTGATTTCTTTGCACACCTGCACCACCAAGGTGCAAGAGTCAGACTGGCCCAAAGGCTTGTTCCTGAGGACTTCCACTTGGGTAAAACGCAGGAAGCACAGAGGGTCCAGCAAAAATCCACTCTCCTGGGACTCCTCACCTGAGACTACACCCCAAAGGGCAAAAAATCCCAGCAGTTCAGGTCATCTGAGCTGAAATTGAAATGGGTTTCCACAGCTCAAATTCTCCAGCATGAAGCCAGTACAGGTTTGCTCACAGATTCCCAGCCGAACTGGGCTGACACCAACAGGATTGAACCAAGACTTTCTTATTTGTTTCTTATATATTATTTATATCTTAGTTCTTTCCCCAGCACCCCCTGAATTCCTCTGCCCCGTGCTCGGGCGGGCAGCCCACAGAAGCATCTTTGTCTGGTGGGATGACAGGGGGGGTCTGCGCCGCAGCGACCCGAGCAGCTCCCCCAGGGCCGTGAGCGAGGGCAGAGCCCGGAGCCGGTGACAGCCTGGCACGGGATGGGCTTCCCCACGGCCACGGGTGCCCCTCTGCTCCGGGGCAGGGACAGTAACGCTTCCCCGTTAAGTATCAGCAAAAGCCAATGTTTTACAAAAACATTTATCTCATTCCATGCTTCTACACGGCCTTAGAGTAAGCAGGATTACAGCAATGTCATTCTTGAATTATCTTGAAGCATTTCCTCACCCCCACCACTCCCCACTAAGAAAACAACCCAGATTACGCAGCCAGTGTTTCAGGCAGCAGCGTCATTCCCCATCCCAGTATAAACTACCAGTCACGTTACCCAGTATCACCTCACTTCCCGAGCCTCCCCACAGCACCAGTGTAACCAGTAACTTATTAGAGCTATTAGTAAGTCAATCAGTAAAGTAGAATAGACTAGGATTTCCTTGGGAAAGCAAAGCTTTTCCACCTCAGCCAGTGCCATAGCTTTGAATGGCCAGTGCAAGCAGCTGAGATGCAGGGCCAGCTGGGACAGGACTGGTCACAGATCAGGAAACTCAGTAAAGCAAATCCCAATAAAGTAATTTAAAAAAAAACTCAAAACACAGATGCTAGAAAAAAAAGAGCTTTTGTTTTTCAAAGATCAAACCTCCGTAACCAGGAATCCCCAGCTTTCACTTTTAATTTTCAAGCCTTCACAGTGGCAGAGAAAAGCCTTGAAAATAATTTTTTTAGAAATTTCAAAGCATTCCAAACTATGGAGCTTTTTAGAAGCGCCAGGGCATTTTTTCCTTTGTCTCTTTCACTTGGAGGACACAACCCCTGCCGAGGGCCTGTGCACCCCTAAACTGGCTGGTTTCACTTCCTGCAGCAAGTCTGAGCTCTGCTGCCCCACGCGTGGCTGCCCTGAGGAGCTGTGGTGAAAAGCTGTCCTGCTCGACACGAGGCCCAAGTGAGCAGCAAAGGGCAGCCCCAGCCCTGCCCTGCACCCTTGGCTCCGCGTCCCCAGCCCCGGCCCACGCAGCCACACGAGCCTGTCCCTCTCCTGGGGCTGCACGTAAAGTCCCGTCTACTCTTTTGCTCAACAGTTTAATTTTAGAAAGACAGGACAGCAAGTTGTAGGAAAGTATAAGTACAGAAAAGGAGATTATATTTAACCAATCCCAATGACCTTGAGCTGGGAGAGCTCAGACTTTCTGAACCTGCTGCCAGCCCCCAGGACACGCGACAAAAGAAATAAGCCTTAAAAGGGGGGAAGGAGGGGAAGTAAGAGGCTTTCTTTAAACAGCCACTCATGTGCTGCACATATGTGGTGGCTTAATATAAAACTGGTCAACCTGATCCCTGCACGATTGGCCTGATACGGTTTAGCCCTGCGTTAGCCCCCCAGCCAATGTGACAATGATGAAGGTCACAAGTTCAAGATGGCTCTTAAAACAGGTTCAGTTGCTGCAGATGCTCTGGCTCAGCTGTTGGCTTGGGGGGAAGAATGTCCCTGAGAAGTGCCCTGACGGTGTCCATCTCAGTGAAGCATGTTGTGGGGTCCCAGCCCCTCGGGGCAAGTGCAATTCTGGGCCTTGCAAAGAAGTTACTCCCCATCTTCAGCACCGACGGTGAGAAATGTGGGTCCAGGAGTCCTCTCTCAATCTGCTTCCTCACGGGCGCTGTGGCTTCTACAAAAATACAGCTTTAAAAAATGCAGCTTAAAGCTTCGCAACGGGGCCGAGCTAAGAACCATCTCCCTGGGCACACCTTACCCTCAGAATGACAGGAGAGGCTGCAAGACACTCAGATACTGCTCTAATAATACTGCTCTAATAATAAGGTAAAATTAAAAAAAAAAAGAAAAAGCAGGAGGAGACAGAACCTGCTTTCAATCTTTCAGCACCTCAAAACTGCCAGTAAAATCTAGAGCCTTACTCACCACACACGTTGCTCAGCAGAAGTTGGGCTAAAAAGCCCAAACCAGGAAATTATCCCTCTCTGCAAAAGGGTAGAGGACCTAGAAAGCCCTCGTGCTTATCAGACACAGACTGTGCACATGTGGTTAGAAAGAGAGAAAAGTAAACCACGGTGTATGCAAGAAGCCAGCCAAAGGTTAGTCTCAATTAGTGAGGGTGAAGAGTTCACTGTAGTGTAAGATGGTCTTTAATCTTGTCTGGTGTCCAATTTAAATCCCTGAAACATGGCAAAAATGCTGGTATCTAACACAGTAGATGGGTTATTTTTGGTAAAGATTCCTCCCTGCAGATAAGCCTCCGAAGCTAATGCTGCTGCTAGTGCTGCAAAATTGGTCTGACCGGCTCCTCAACCCAGGAGACACGGCTCCTCCTGTAAAGCTGGACAGTTGTCAAGGCCCCAGATGACTCCTCTTAAATCAATACATTCCCTCACCCATCGCCCTCCCGTCAGCAGCATATGCTAGAAGAGAAAGCCCATTACATAAGGTGCTTAAATTCCCACTGATAGCCCTAAGCAAAGCACGTAAGGATGCTCCTAAGAACATCTTGTACCTGCTGGTTGTTATTTCGCTCTGGTTTTCTGGTGTCCAGTGAAGAAAGTACTGAGAAAGTGTGGTATTATTAAATTTGTGGGGATTTTATGGGCCTACTGGAAAGCCTCTCCCATGAAATTTCCAGCTTGCCTTACGCTGTGAGCATACAGGCTGTGGTTTCACACAGCATCTCCCTCTTCTCTGTTCCACCTCACGCCGCAGGCGAGGCGGAGAGGAGCTGACAGGTTCAGGGCATTCCCAGCAGTTTGCTCTTTGGGGACAGGGTTGCTGCTGTCACTGCTTTTCCGTGAGAGGCAGCAGTTGAGCGTTTCACTGCAGATCCTGAGGGGCAGCGTGAGCCTCCTGCCATGAACCATTGGCAGTGAACAGGGCTGCGAGGGGCAGGGAACCCTGGCAACTGCAGAGAGTATTTTCCAAGAGCTGTTTACAGCTGGAACGTGGGATGGAGTTTTGGATCCAGGAAGCCTGCAGGACAGAGTTCATTTGCATAGACACAATTAGCACATTGAGGATCTCTGCTATCTA